TATAGGTATTTCATGAATGCCTTTAGCCTTCAGACTTACTAATGACCAGAGTGCTGATCTAAGTTCAACTTCTACTATTAAACGTTCTTGTAAATACAGAAAATCGTCTAAGTATCATGAACATTGACATCTGTACTATACAGAATTTCAGTACACTTAAACCATCTTGGTTGAGTGTCTTTGAATCTGTCCACTGGCAATTTTAGCATAAGAATTCAAGGTTAGAACCTCCTTCTGAGTTCAGAGATCTTTTGGAAAACTTTGTTTTTCCATCTTCACAGATATTGTAATACTGCTTGTTTTTTCAAACAGCTCTCTCAGATTTTTCCTGAAATCTTTATCTTTTTTTGGTTTGGCTTCTCTTCTCTTCTTGGCAATTTCTACCATTTGTTCTGACATCCAGTTTACCTTCTTCTGTTTCTTGGTCTTTGATTGTCTCTTTTCACATTCATCCTTAAAAAATTGATTTCATGGCACAGTTCCTCTGTTTCCTATCAGTGAGGTTCAGAATGATTCCCGATGTTCTCCTTGAAAATGGTTGGCATATGCTCCAGATCATATTGTGGAAACTGGTTAGCTTTGTTCTTCTACTTTAGCTTGACATGGAACTCAAACATGAAGAGTTTGTAATCTGCTTCATAATTGGCTCCTGGCCACACCTTTGTTGCTGTAACTGAGCAATTATACTTCTTTGTATTTATTGTACTCCATCTGGTGATATCCTTGTAAACAGATGTCCTTTTGGTTGTTTGAAGACTATGTTAGCAATGAAGAAATCACTGGATTGAAGAAATTGGTAAGTCATTCGCCTGCTCCATTTCTCTTTTCTAGGCCATACAATCCACCTATGTTTTCCTTCTTACTATTTGCAACTTTGGCATTCTAATCTCCGATCACAGGCAGCACATCTAGCTTGTAGGTTCTGTCAATTTCAGATTGAATTTTACCAACTCATCAACCTTTTTTTTCTGCATCAGTTGTTGAACCATGAACTTGAATAATTTCATATTAAAGACTTATTCACAAAGTCTAATTAATATTATTTGGTCATTGACTGTGTTGTATCCAAATACTATCTTTGCTATATCCTTCTTGTATGAAAACATGCTGTTCCTTCTTTGTTTTTCATGACTTGAGTAATAAACAGTATGATTTTCTGACTAGAATTGTCCCATTCCAGTCCATTTCAGTTCATGGATGCCTCAGATATCAATGTGTAGTTGACTCATTTCATCTTTCACTGTATTTAGCTTTCCAATGTTCATGCTTCTTACATTCCATGCTTCCACTGTAATTCTTTGTAGCTTCAGATTTTCTTTTCTTGCATGGCAACTTTAGCAACTAGGCACCCAAAGGCTTTAATCTAATCACATCATAAACAGCATTAATCCTCTAAAAGATCCTCAACTTTTCTTCAGTAGCATGTTGGATACCATCTGACGTGAGAGGTCCATAGTCAAACACTTTATATTGTCTATCCATGTCATTTTCTTGGTAAAATACACAAGTGATTACCATTGCCTTCTCTCACGTAATATGAAATGATGCCTTTCCATTGTCACTAAAGATACTATCTGCCTCCACTATATTCCTATATTGTTGCTGTCCAATATAGGTGACCCTGTTGGGAGTATATACTCTTGGTATACACTCCTGGCATTGTTCACTCATCCCTCCTAGGAATATACCATCACCACCACAATGAAGTAGCACAGCAGGAAATGGCAAAACCCAAAAAGCAGTGAAGGAATATTTCAGTTTTCACTCTGTTGTTGATCACACCTTGTTGTATGGTGTACCTCTATTACAAAACACTTTACTCAGCAATTCATTATTTTTTTTCAAAATTGTATAATAAACAGCAATCTGATCCTGCAAAAGTTGAAGAATATTTCAATGGAATACAACATTTACAAAAAGAGGCTCTTAGTCAACCCATAACAGAAGATGAAACCAGAGAAGCAATTAAATAATTAAAAATGAATAAAACTCTAGGACCTGATGGTATCTCTGCAATCTATTGTAAGATATTTCAAGTAATCCGCACTAAAGCTTTAACTAAAGTAATGAACAAAATTGAGGTATGTGACTAACTCTCTTCATCATGGAAAGAGGCTTTTATTTCCTTGATTTACAAAGAAGAAAAGGATTCGACTCCTCCTGAAGCATACAGACCTATCTCATTACTGAATGTGGATTATAAACTATGGATTATAAACTGTGGATTCACAGCAATCCTTGCTAAGAGGCTAAATGTTTTCTTAACTGAGATGATACATCCTGACCAGAGATGCACGAGATATTATATCACATATATTTTAAATGTTACTGATAAACCAGAAAGACCAAACGTTTGCCATGATTTTTCTTGACGTTCAAATAACCTTTGAGAATCTGGAATGGATCTTTCATTTGCAGTTCTAAAAAAAAAAAAAGGGCTGTAACCCTATTTTTTTTTTACAGAGATACAGAGTTTTTATAAAGAACAAAAAGTTAAAATTATTGTGAATGGTCTTACTTCATAGCAATGACCTATATTGAACAAAACAAGGTTGTCCCTTCTTATTTATTTTTATTAGCATCTGAACCATTGACAATCCAAATACAAGAAAATAGAATCCTAAGAGTCAAACTAGCTGCTCAAGAACATAAATTGAAATTATTTGCTGATGACATTATATTAACAATTGTTCAACCTAGAGTCTCAGTATGGTTCAGTATCAAGCTACTGAATTAATAAAAAGAAAACTCAGATATTGACTTGATATCATACAGAGAAAAAAACAACTTGCATATCAACTAACAGTTGGATATCAACTAACGGGCTTCAATATCACTGCTTACAATGTCAAATATTTAGGTTTTTCCCCAAAAAACAATCATGTTCTATTTAAGAACAATAATTTACGAACTTGGAAAAGTATAACAGATATTTTTAGATGGAAGAAATTAAATTTGTTTTGGTTAGGAAGAATTGCAGTGGTCAAAATGTATATATTCCCAAGACTAAATTTTCTATTTCAAATAGTTCCAGTTTTTATTGAGAGTAAGATACTAAAGACTTGCATGTGGTACAGCACAATCAGACTTGCAAGATTCTGTTATTATAGCCAATTTCAATAAAAGTAGTTTAACTTCCTGTGGAGTTGATGTCTTGATCTGGTCTGCCTAGCGGGGCTAACATCAATCTTGCAAGTCTGATCTTCTGTACCTCCTCCTCCTTCTTACAGTTCAATGAATTAGGAAGGTGTCTGTCCGAGCTGCTTCTGAATATTATCTGTCTGTTGTGGACTTAAAATATGTTTTACTTCCTGTTGCCCTGGTGATGGATATCTCCATCAAGGTCATTTTCCTTACTTTTTACAATATTTAACCAGGATTCTGTGCACCATTATTAGTTTGTTTTCTGTCTGGTGTTAAGTCTAATTTATATTCCTCTGTACAAGATAGGAAGCTGGGTTTATTGCCAACTTTCCTTGGTCCTTTCTTCAGCCTAGACATGAAGATTTATTTATTTTAGATACTGTGATCTGAAATATGATTTGGGATCTCTGTGGCCCCTCTTGTGAGTTTGGCCAGACTTCACTGCATACAGGAGATCACCACATTTGCTTTTGCAATTTCTTCTTTAACCAAGTGGTATTTATCTCCTCCATCACTGAATATTTGTATTTTTGATATTTAAAAAATGTTTTACAGTCTATCTTTACATTTTCTAAAGTTTACATTTGTTTATCTCCTGTGTGGTTGGTTTATCTCCATAGGGAAAGGAAGGGCTGGGTCCCCTAGCTGCACACCTCTGTACTATAAAGTCAGGTTGCACTACTGTAATTATTTTCTGGGTGGGGTGGGATTTTGACCTTTTAATTGTTAGAAAAGCAGCACCAGTTGTGGTAACCTTGTTTTGCACAGTAGTATTAGGGGGAGGATATCAGGTAAGGCACATCCTAGAAGATTGGAGGTGGCAGCAGGAACTACCAAATTGCTATCCCAAAGCAGGTGGTGGGCCAAGTTGTGAAGACCCAGAGGATCTCTGGGAGAATTTTGAAACCTCCAGCTTTCCCTCCGATTTGTTTAGCTGTTCTGCTACAATGATTTATGGTGCTATGTGTTTATTGTACTGTTTTTTTAAGGGGCTAATCGGTATTAAAACAATTGCTGAAGTTTGATTTGAAAGAGACAGAGAACTTCCTTTTTGCCTATGAATAATCCTGCAGCTCTATGTTTATGGTACTTTTGCAAAATGGCTGTCCTGCTGCTGCGGCCAATCACAAAACATTCTCTTACTAGAAGAGTAAGAGAATCTGATGAGATTACTAGAATCTGATGATATTACTCTGTTACTCCTTCTTAGGTTCTGGGCCCTTCCCTAGAAACTCAGGCTTTAGTTGTGATCTCAAATTAGATTATAGTGAGCTACTGTATTAATTTTTTGATGTATTCTGTATTGTGGAATCCTTGGGTTCTCT